CTACGGGGGACGTCACGGACACTACGTCGATGTTTTTATACAGTCTATATGGTATGAACACAAAAGACGCGTCGAAAAACGTCGGCGATAATCGTCCCGGTGTGTACGAGGCTTTAGGCTAACGTTTGAGAAAAAAAATAAAAAAACATCGAAAAGTGTATGTAAAATGTTAGGGCTAGGAAATATGTGTAGCAGGTTTTTACAAGATTTCATTTAGTAGCCAATAGGTCTTCTAAATAAACTAGTATTTCCGTGGTTATAATAAAAATTCTGGGAATCTCACAATTGGGTTCTAGGCTAGAGAAAGTCTCGGAAATTAATAAAATCTTAAAATAACCCCCCACTGCGTCTGTCCTCATATGTTTTTCCCCACCCATAACAATATGGTTCATATTTGTTAGTAAGTAAACTATTACTATTGATAACCTTAAATAATTTAGAGTCATTGAAATGATCCGTTTGTTCTGAGGAATCGTTTAAGTGTGTTTTTGCCTAGAAACAACATTGTGTGACTCCTATGCATTGATGACACATGTAGCTAATGTAGAGAATATGGCATTTGTTATTTAGATGATTCTTCTATTATTATTATTATTATTATTAAAGAATCTACATTTTTGTAGTATTTATGTATTTAACATTGTTTCAAAAAACTAGAAGACAGTTTCATTAAATTCTGTATCAGTTTAGCAGTTAGTATATAGCATAGGTTTTCACATTAAAGGCCCTTGGTAAATAGAGATTGAGCAGGGACCCCCTGTTATATATATGATAAAGCTGAGCTAAACTGGGCATACCTGGAAAAATGTATGAAAATAAGTTCCATAAGTGGTCTTGAGGGGGCAGTGTTGAATCATATTTCCCATTAAATTGTACTTGTTTGTGTTCAACAGGATGCCTAAGTCTAAAGAAGTGCTGTCTTCCACTTCTGGCAGTGATTCAGACAGTGATACAGAAAAAAAGGTATGAATATTGATTTATACATGAATGCAACAAAATTAATTGCCTTTGCAATTGGAAAACTATGTTTATGCTTCTTGACTTTCATTTAACTTGAAATTAGCAGTGGCTACTATAATTAGTGATTTTTTAAAAAAGTACTTATTTAATCCTAAAATATGCTGCAGGCCTGAAAGGTCATGTGTTTGTTTTTCTCTCCTTATTTCTACCAAAGGCCAAAAGAAAGAAGGCAAGTGCTCCTGAGAAGCCTGCTAAAAAACAGAAAAGTGGAGAGACCTCCAAACCGAGTGGCTCTGCTAAGAGTGACCGAAACAATGATGATAACTTGTTCCAGGTTGGGTTTTTCAACACATACCGCCCTATCAGGGTTTATTAATGACCAAATGACTGTAAATGATCCCATATATAACTGCTTACGAAATAAATAAATGCATGGACATGTAATATTGATTTAACATTAAATAATCTTACTTGTAGATTAGCTTCTACTAAGAGCAATATTGCATTAAAATAATCATGCTGACAACAGGATGAACATCAATTTATATATTATTATTATCGATCTGTAATGCAACTTTTCCCATGGACTAGTTTGCTTGCATTTATCTGTAACATGTCTCTTATCGGGTTCTTGCTACTCTGGTTTATTTAAGGGAAAAACCCTATAAAATCTTTGTGTTTTTTCTATAGAACTCCTACAGAATACACATAAAGATCGCATAAAGAATATGCAAGGTTCTGAAGTTATTTTGCATTATAACTAGCAATTTCTGCTATGTTTTAGTGTCTTTTTTGAGTGTTTTTTTGACTTAAAGTTTAGTATGATTGATTGTAGAGCTATTATTTACTGTCCCTGGTAGCTCATTCATGTTCTGATATGTGATAGATTGGAAAGCTGAGATACGTCAGCGTCAGAGATTTTAAAGGCAAGGTTTTGATTGACATTCGAGAGTACTGGATGGACCAAGCTGGTGAGATGAAGCCTGGAAAAAAAGGTAATTTTGGGGCCATTTATATTTTATTTATTTTTAGTGGAACAAATATCTTTAAGTGTAGGTCAAATGTTCCTGTGTGTCTTACGTTTGATTATTGTGCCGTAGTTGTTTTGTTCCATCAATTGTATTGAATTACCCTCAGGTATTTCATTGAATCCTGAGCAGTGGAATCAGCTGAAGGAACAAATGTCGGACATCGATGATGCAATTAGAAGATTGTAAGAGCTCTTTGTGCAGTGAATGGTTGTCTGGTTCTTTTTAGAGTTCCATTCTTTGGTACATGGGGACTTTAACAAAATATTTCCTGTTTCAACTTGTACTTATATGTATGCTGTTAAATTTGAAGAGACTTCTTTAGTTATATTTTTGTTAATTTCCAAATGTCTGCTGTTAATTGTTGTGTATGAATAGTAAGTCTTGACTGTGATTATTTTATTAGTGCAATAGCTGCATTGTTCTCATACTCTGCCTACATAATAAAGGCTTTTTTGGTTTGGAGTCTGTATTTTTGATTGAGTATAAAAATATTAACCATGTTTAGATTTTTTTTTTTTTTTCTTTGCTCCCTATAACATAAAGTACATATTTTTAAACTCAAAGTTGTTGTGATCCCGACAATAAACAAAGCAGTAACGGATGGCCTAAAATGAAGGCGTTTGGCACTTTATGATGCAGCTTGTGTCCAGTCCTGAGTGCTTATGTGTAATTTGCTTGCCTTTGCGTGGGAGGAGGAATTATAATGGTCTGTACACTCAAACATAGACCAGACTCCGGAATAAAAACAGCCCTTTCACTTGACTGTCCAGAAGAGCCATCTTGCATCAATTGCATTTGCTGTCTAAATTAAATCACTCTTAAATCATGGTAGCCACTGTATTGCCAGCACATCTTTGAGACAATATGGTTTATGGTGTTGCATGCTAATCAAGCATTATTGGAGTAGTTTCTGTAAGAGGTAACCACAGTACAAGCACATTTTTTTGAGATGCAGAGGTTCATACTGTGAGTAAACATTTATAAAATTAATTTACTTTTATATCGTTTATACATGTTCTTATTTTAAGTATCATATATATTTCAGAACTGGTTGACCGAACAGCAGTTCTAAATTAGACATTTAGTGCAATAATGGTACATAAACTCACTCGCTCTCTCTCTCGCTATATATATATATATAAAATGATACATAAACTATACATATAGTATATTTATATATATATATAGACATAGATAGATAGATAGATAACTATATATATACACACACACACACACTTCAAAATGTGAATTGATTCATATTATGACTTCCTTAAGTATCAAATGCATCCTAAGGTTTGAACGTCAAGCTGTGCCTTAGAGAAAAATATTTCTTTTTCTGTTTCACTGGTTGCACTTCATGGTGGTGGTTACTATGGAGATCACTTGCAACCACAGAAGGCCATTTTAGTTCCTGAGAGGGAATTATTTTCCTGTTCTGATTGAACCAGCTTTTCACTCCAACTTCAATTCTGTGACCAAACGCTGACACATGAACTATGAAATATCAAGAAATAGCAATCTCTAAAACCTTCTAAAACCTTGAGTATGTTACATACACATGTTAGTGTAAAGCTAATGTTAGCATGTAAAACTGATCAAAAGAAAATGAAACCTTCAATTGGTGGCCACTATATAGGCATGAGTTTGGTGTGGTGTGTATGATTTCATATTCATTTTCAGTTAATTGTCGTCTTACTAAATGTTCTGTTTAAAACAGTAAAGTTCCTTAGATTAAAATGGACCATGCACATTCATATTTGTAAAAATGTGAAAAATACAAATGTCCAATGTCATTCAAAAATAGAAACGTATCACTAGATGGCACCAATGCTCTATTGAAATTTAATTTCTTCTGCTAGTTTTTGGACAATAAAAGCATACTCAACCTGTTAACGTTTTTAACAATGACACAAAGGTCTCCTTAAAATGACTGACCATTGTTGAGTGCAAATTTCCATTTTTATAAATGTAAGGTCTTTAGTTCTTATACTTTATAACCTTTCTATCATCAATATGACAATTCCAATACCAGTCAGTGTGTTCGTGGCTTACTAATGGGAATTTCTTTCCATCACATGTTGGTTGTTGATAGAAAATGAATTTGTTTTTTGTGAATTTGTGTCATTTGTTCAATTAGAACATGCTACAAGTTGTGCTTTGGTCTGCAATCATTTTAATGAAAGCACAAACACAGTGCGACCATCTGTCCACAAAACAGGAATTGATGTAATGTCCCCGATATCTGGAGGCACTTTGAATCATCCATGCAACCTCCATCTTCTCGAGATTTCCTTGATTATGGTGGATCATATCTTATTTTTCAAAAAAGAGGGTGGTGGGTTTGGGGGCATGGCTAGGGTTGCCAGCTTCAGAAAAGGAAAATAAGGGACAATCTTGGTTTTTCATAGCAATATACAGGTGCATCTCAATAAATTAGAATGTCGTGGAAAAGTTCATTTATTTCAGTAATTCAACTCAAATTGTTCATTGTTCATTTTGTGTTTCAAGAATGAGGTCCAAGGTTAAAAATTTCGGGAGAAATGGGTGAATTTACGTGATGTTAAACCAAAGATCCAAAATATTTGTTATTCTTATGGCCTAGGTGGTCATACGGCATATACCTTAAATATGGGACAAACTGCATTCCGTATGGCTTTCATTATACAGATTATATTATATTATATACGGAACGGTTGGCAACCCTAGGCATGGAGTGGCGTGGTGTAAATACTTGACAAATATGTTCACAACCATGCAACTATGTTATTGAACTATAATACATAAAGTTTGCAAAAATGCACACAGTGAATGGTGACTGTAGAAAGCAAAAGCCTAATCCCGGACATTTTGGGCGATTTAGAAATCCTGGCCAGACGCATTTTTTTAGGTCCAAAAAGAGGACGTATGGTCACCCTAACTTTGATGCTTTTATAATGGATGGTGGAATACGAAGAACATCATGGGAAAGAGAAGCCTAGCGGGTGTGTTGCACTAGTTTACTAGTTTTGGAGCACTTTAGGTCACAGATGCATCAAAAGTCCAACATCTGCTTCCATTTGAAGGGTCTGTTGTGAGCCTGGCGATTGAACATCGGTGTCTGTGGTTCTTGGACTGCTGCTCTTGTCATTGAGCATTGCATTGCATATTTCAGCACAAGAAGTTTCAGGTTATGTTTACATCTGGACATGGGAATATGCTGGGGCGTGTAGCTCATCTTTGGGCTAATATCAAACCAGCGAGGGTTTTACAGGAGGGAATAACGAATGAGGAAACCCTTTCAGCCCAGTTTTGATGGATGTCTCTGCCTCTGTTGTTTTACTCCATGGTGTCTAATATAACGGATACTGTTTCATGGAAGGAATTTGTTCTTCCATTGAGATGTGAAATGCATATTGATTATGGGGTGCCTTGAGTTTCCTGTCCGTGACAGGGATGGTATTGGCTGGAACCCGCTTTGGCTGTGAATTACAGTATGACAGGATCTTGCCAATTTGTCTACAGTTGAATTATCTTTACAGTGGACAAATTATATTAAGAAGTTTATAGGCCAGAATCCCTACTCTTGACCCTCTGGCAAGGATAAAATCATTCATCTCTAACACATCAGAAGATAAACAAGTCCACTTAGACTTCACCCTGGCTAAAGTGTTCTCACTGCGGTGCATTTCTGCCAAAATGTACTGTCATTCTGTGTATAGCACTAAGCATACAATTAAAAAGCTGAAGGAGAAAGCAGAAAGTGTGTTGGTATCCTGGCTGGTTCCATGGAATGTCCAGTGAGTGTCAGTTTAATAATGGTTGAAGTTGTCTTTGGCATGGATAAGTTCTGCTTACATGTGAGGTCAGATTGGTGAAGCTGCCACAGAAGTGAAGATAGATCAAAACAGGCCCTCATTCATGATTAATGAGTATAACCCCAAAGGTGGTCAAGGAATCAACCATGGGGATGAGATGAAATGCTGCTTTGCTGACTGTAATGATAAAACAGACGTCCAGAAGTTCCAGCTTATGGAAGATTCCGTTTGATCACACTTTCCTCTTCAGCTTTCGGATTCAAAGGACAATGATTAGTTTCTGCAAAAATACACACAGAACTCTTCTCATAAATTATTAATCTTAGTTCATCAAATGAATATCTGACTCATGCAACACCAAATTTATTCCTTAGTAAATATTTTTGTAAATTACTCACATGAAAATACTTACAGATCTGTTGTTACTTGTGGTTTTGTATGGCAAATCCATCAGAGAAATATAAAACGTCTGTAGTTCAAGAAAAATAAGCTTTTAGTGTAGTATTGTTAACTGTAAAATTCAAAAACCTGACTCAAGTGTCTTTTATTGTGTCCTGATCAAAGTGCTTTTGGCAGTATTTTGAGTGGAACACATGCTAAAGTATATTTCATATTTCATATTGGCGGTTTCATTGTTAGCAGAGCTTAGATGCAGACATGGCTGCTCATGTTGGCTAGAAAACATTGAGGAATGTTGTGGGCTTGTTGATAACCTCTCCCCCCAGCCCCTCGCGCTGGCTGTGGGACCCCGCTGAGCAGAACGTCTCTGAGGTTAGCTGGAGGTGCCCTCGACCTGACGGTCCATGCCGCCTCGTAAATCTGCCCGGCCTGAACCAACAGTTATTGTTCACAAGGAGTGTTGTTTGCCAGGATTTAGTTTCACCCTCAGATAATTGTTTGGGTAGTCAGTAGTGTTTAAATGTGCCTAAGGGTATCGGAATGTGTCAGCCATAACCACACGGCTCTCTGGAATACTTGATTCTAGTCAATTGTGCCATCCAGCGGACAGATATTCCCAGTATTTGCTGTCCCCCATGGCAACGCCATGGTGTGTGTTCACAGCAGTGAGACAACTCCACTAGAATGCCTTTTCAGACCAGTATAATCATCATATATATGTTGTTATATATACACATGTTAAATGTTGTATTTTGGACAATTTTATTCTGAGCAGACTGACTCAAAAAGTTGATTAAATTGACACCTTATCTTTACCCTGGACCTTCAGAAACAAAGCTCGCATGTTTCCAACTGTAATTCTATATATGATGATTATATTGGCCCAAAGCAGAGGTGTTGTAGCGTTTTGTGGCATTGAATGGAGGCTTTGCAGTGTATACACAAATGTCAATCCCACAATCCCCCACGGCAAGCATGTAGCTTTGCTCCCATAAGAATAAACAGAAAATGCCTGCTCTGATCGCCTCACAGATAGACACGCGTCGTAAAGAAACCAGCACTACTTTCACATCTTATGTATTACACAGCAGACATGATTTCTGTGAATTTGGTACCAACTTGTGTCTCAGTTATCCATTGTCGTGAAAATTACTTCAGAGGAATCAAGTTTTAAAATCTGTGTAATTTTGTTGCAGTGTGTGACTTGTTACTAGGCTGATTGTTTTACATTGTAATGGACTATTTTTTCTTTGTAAATGCTTTAAAATAAAACAGGTAAACTCAATCAAGTTCATGCCCAAGTATTTATTTATTTATTTGGTGTATAGTCATATAATAAGTGGTACATTATCTCTTACATAAGCCAGAGTTCCCTCACCTGCATGCAACACAGCAGGACAGAAAGTTACATTTCAGGCAGCCTGGGAGGATTGAATCTGCCTGGGCGCCGACATGCTCCCTCAGTGTGCTGCTGCAAAAGGCTGTGTAGCGAAGAATTATGCAATGCCATACTTGAGCCATACTTTAATTCCTTTGATTCCCATTGGACACAATTAAGATAGTCATGGTTGTAATTTTGACGCAGTGGTCCAAATGTGCTATCTCACTCACAGGCGGAGAAATGT